GTTGGTAAGCAGGTACCAAGATACTCATAGAACCTATTTTGTGAAATCAGTGATGTCCCAATCTGCTGCCCTTTGTCAAAAAGGTTTCCCATGGGGAAAAGAGCCTCAGACTGCTGGCGATCCTCTTAGGCAAGTGGTTCTCAACAGGTGACATTTGGCTATGCTTGGAGACAGATTTGGTATATAGGTTAGAGTCAGGGATGATGCTAAACTTACATTAATACATGGTACAGCTTCCACAACAAAGAATCACTTAGTCCAAAATGTCAGAAATGCCGCAAATAAGAACCTCTATCTTCAATAAATGACCAGATACAGGACTGGCTAAAGGTAAGTTCTGAAATACCATTCCTGGAAACCCTAAAGCTACAGGCCTCATTGGAGTCCCATAGCCTTTTAATGTAGGAAGGGGATCTTTATAACATGGTAGCCAACCTATATCTCCCGATAGCTTTCATTTACTAATAAGAGCCCATATCTATGGGCTAGAGACATGATAGCTCAACAGTTAAAGGGTGCTTGCTGCTCTTGGATAGGACTAGAGTTCAGTTCCCAGCACTCACTCATGTCAGCTCACAACTGCCTGTAACTCCAGCTCCAGGGGATCCAACACCCTCTTTGGGTACCCCTACACATGTACATATACACATACATACCCATAAATTTTAAAAAATAGATATTTAAATGTAAAAAATTTAAAAAGAACCCACATGTAACATTTACTATGATAGTGGATCAAGTTCAATAATAAAATCCCTTTTCTGTTAGTCATTGTGCACAAAGCATCAACTATGAGCAAGTAGTATCTCTCTCTGCATGTTGAGCTTTCTGCTTTGGACTTCTAATAGGATTTACTGATGAGTCCTAGATTGTGTGAGTGTCAATAAGGTATTGGCATTTCCTTGTTCCAAGCTTTGTATAACTAACACATACTCAGGATAGCTCATGTATATGCTGTGGTATTTTGAAGTAAGTCATAGCATTCCTCCCCAAAGCTGTGTCTGTTTGCTGTGTATACTTCCTCCAGCACAGTTCATTTCAGTTCAGCCACTCCATACTGATTGCTGCTTTTGTGGAAAATTCTGACCTAGGTTTAACCAAGGATTTAGACAGAGGATTAAAGCCTTGTTCCTGTTCCAGAGAGTTGAGAGCTGTACAGGGGGAGGGAGGAAGGGGGCAGGAATAGAGGGTAGATGTGTAATAGAAGACAGTTGAAAAGAGCCACCATAAAGGATGCCTTGAAAAGTTTTATCAGATGCAGTGATGGAAGGTATGACATGGCAGAAACTATATAAAAGAACATTCAGGAAAGTTTGAAATGGGCACTGGGATGGGTCGGAAATTTTGCAGAGCCAGGGTGCACATTCTAAGTTTCCTTCTCTTCACAGAGTAAGCTTCCTATTGAATCAAAGTGTTAATAACAGTAAGTTCTACATATGAAATCCAACTAAAATTAAGAGATATACATGTATAATTTAATCCACCCCACCCCTAAAATGTGCTGATACTTATAAAATTGTTTCAGATTTCAACTAATGGTTAAGTCTACTTTTTTTGGTGAGTACCATGATCTAGAAAAATACAAAGCAAACATCACTGCCTTAAGTATATGTACCTTAACCATCTCCTTCTTTCCATTGGTTATTGGCTTCAAAGTCATTCATCTTTGCCTCCGCTCTTTGTCTCTGAGGATCAGCAGCACAAAGGAACAGAGTGTATTGTTGCTAGCATGTGTTTGGAACAAAAAAGCTGAAATATAGACCATGGGTCTTGAAACGTCCATGAAAGAACAAAGAAAAGAAACTCATGATGCAGTCCTGGGGGTTTGGTTTGAGTCATGAATTCAGTTAAGGAAGTCTGTAAGATGGGTGGGCTTTGTCCTTCATCTCACATCTGTGTTCAACCTCTGTCAGGTATTACACAGAGTACTTGAACATGATGAGCTAGCATTTACTTATAGCTATGCCTTTTCGTAAGTCACTGAAAAATATGACAATGTGGACAATAGGTTGGCTCCATTGATGTTCATTGAGATGAGCTAATCTTGACGGTTACCGCTGGTATAGCTTAGTAAATGCTGCACACTGTTAGAAGTTTCAGTATGTCACAGTAGGGAATGTGTCCCTAGCAGAGCAACTCACATCAGGGAAGCCAGGAAACAGGGAGGGAGGATGCTGTGCTAGCTTGATTCCCCCTTTTCTCTCCTTTTATTCCATCTGAGTCCTCAGCCGAGGGGTGGTACTGTCTACATTCAAGGCAGGTCTTCCCCTCTTGATTAGCTTTCTCTGGAAATGTATTCATGGAAACACCTTTACTAATCTCCTAGGTGCTTCTCAGTGTAATCAAGGTAACACCAAATAGTGGCTATCAAACCTCTTGATAAAGGCTGAGAATCTTCTGCAGTTTCTCATTTGTAACAAAAGTCTAGTGTTCAGCTGAGCACAAGGCTACTTTAGTTCTTTTTATACCTCATTACTCTTCATTGATCATGTTCTCTAGCTTCTAAATGCATTCTTACAAGTCTGTGTAGATATGCTTTTGATAATTCTGGTTTTTTCCTCATTTTATGTGAGCATATTTATTGTGTCTCATATGTAATTCTGACAAGGAATAAAGTTCTTTTCCTTCCCTTATTTGCTGATCTGCTATGTGAGTTGTGAGCAACAGGTAGAACTTGCCTGCCATAGATCATCCATACCATTGTGAACATTAAATCACTCCTAGCTCATTATGTCTATATTTCAGAAGGTTACAGTGTTTAAAATAAAAGGAATATGGCTACAGGGCTGGCCTGTTGAGAATTCTGTGGAATTGTTGCTTTTTCTCAGTCCTAGTAATACCTAGCTTTATAGTCCTACTCAAGGAAAATGGAGTGCTGCTGCCTGCTTTTTTTTTTTTTTTTTTTTCTTACCTTGAGCTTTTAACATCCAGCCCTGGCATTTCAAGAACTTCTTTTTTTTGTATTGTCTTAACTCGATGGATGGTGTAACAGTGTATGCTCTGAGCTCAGTGATTATGACGTCACTTGAGTTCCCAGTGCCATTACTTTATTCCATACTGAGCCATACCACAGCTACGTGAGCATAGCAATGCCCCAAAAGTTGACCTATGAGGATTTCCTGAAGAAAATACGCGGGAAGGTAAGGCTCCTATCAGTACAGTGTATCTTATCCATGTCCCAGTTTCTTCTTGTGTTGACTTTATTATATCTTTTGTTGTAAAGCACCTTCAAATTCTTTCTGAAAAGAGACAAGTCTTTAAAGAGGTAAGTGAGTGTATACTTTATTCTTAATCTAGCTTAACACAGAGTTAAGACATCAGAATGTTTGTGTTGGGTCTCACAAATCCTGATTTCCTCATTTTCTTTGTTTCTCTTGCTTATGGGAGACTAGATTTACATAATGATCCACTTAAGCATATTCTGTCACATCTTCAAGCCCAATCATGTTATCCCAAACCTAGCAAGATCTGAAAACAAATCAGCGTGCATTTATTTCTTCAAGGAATAGCAAACAGAGGTGGAGAAAGACTTTATATTCATTTTCCTCTAAAAAACAATTCTGCCGTAACAGCAAATAATGTTATAATGCTCCTTGTTTTTATCTGTTCATTTACAATGATTCTGTATCTGTTGGAGAGTACACAGAAAAGTTTTATTTCCTTGCAGTCAGTTTACTGCTTTCTCTTAAGTTGAGTGTGACTCCCCATCCTTAGTGGCCATTAACATAGTGAGTGTCTTCTTGGCTTATTTAAGTTTCAGGATTCATATCGTGTGACTTTTCTTCCCAGCATCCCATTAACTGTTTGAAAGCAGTGTTCCGCTGAAGTGTTGTGGCCATGTTTCTTGCTTTGTTATTCTCCCCAGTGGATCTCAAGCTATCGATTCTGTTTGCAGTTGAGGGAAGATTTGTGATGTTTGCCTATAGTTTGATGCTGTCAGGTCTATGGAGATAGCTCCTCTTTGGTCTTTAGTCTACATAGCTAACATCTGATGTGCTGCTTTAAAAGTATTTCAAGTACTATATATTAGAAGAGTGAATGAAATATCTTTGTGCATTTTTTATTTAGGTTGAGATCAACTCTTCAAAATTAAATTTGTTCATTGGTACTGTGTTCTCAGTAGACCCAAGCAATGCACTTTCAGTATTGAATTCTAAATGATAAGAGTGGAATATCCATTACAACCTCATTGCATTTTTTAAAAATCTGAGTGTGTAAACAAGAAATTATGTAGTGCCTGTGTTGTACTAGCCATGCTGGGTAGCATCATACCTTGAATGAAGAAGCTGGTGTTGACACAGTCAGAATTTAGGAAGTAAAATAATTTCCCTGCTGCCTATAACTGTTCAAGTTGTTAAAACAAAATCTGAAGTTGTGAATCACAGTTAGTAGTTTACTCCTTAAAATTCTATATCAGTTTATAATTTCCATCTTATAGTTGAAAATATATTAATATTGATATTTAAAAGTGATTTTATTTTCTTTTTTGTCAGAATCTTCATAATAAATTTATCATTGTTGGGCCTTATTTGCTTAAACTTCTGTTGTACCCCCTTTGTTATTGGCTTAAATATGCTTTTTCTTTAATTGAATTCTCTGTATTGTTTTAATTTTTTGTACAGTTGAATGCTTGCAAGATTAACTATAATGTGTACATACAAAAATTTATAGTAATTTATTTACACTTCAACATGTTTAATTTATATTTAATTTCAAAGTTTTCACGGTGAAATTAATTTTCTTGCATATCAATGTATTTTTATTTAACCTTGATACTTGTTTTGTGTATTAGTCTCATGCTTTCAGGCAGCATGAACTTATCGTTGAAACCTTGTCTTTATTTAAGAGCACAGTGACACATGTATTCCAAACAACACATCGCTTAGTATTTGCTCACTATTTTTTTTGTATTTTCAGTATAATATCAGATTAATAATATCAAATTTCTAGTGTATATGTTGTTAAATATCTACCTGTTTGTTATTTTTAACATGCTTCAGGATATTGAAGACAAAGTAAGTAACAACAACAAAAAGAAAACCCTACAAATTAGCAAATGCATAAATATAAACTAAACAGAGACTTGAGTGAATAGTTATAGAGTAGAGTGAGCCAGGCAAAACGTCATCACTTTGCAAAGGAATATGAAACATGCACAGAGATGAGAGTGGCAGTCACACGTGTGTTGTGTTTAGCATTCACCGAACACAAAACAATGTTAATGCAATAACTTTTCTTACTTGAGGTAATATTATAAAGAGATTCTTTCAGAAATGAAGATCAGTTCAACATAATTCAGGATATCAGCAGTGCTTTGATAAATGTGTGTATGTGTTCTTGCTAACCTTGAAAAACATCCACAATAGACATCTTTATTGTTTTTATAGTGAATCATATTTTTTTAATTAAAGCAATTAATATAAGAGCTTGTAAATTAGTATTATAAGTAAATGTTTCATAATTACTCCATTATTAGAATTATTATCTTAAAATTTTTAAATAAATTATTACAATTGTGGCTTCTTCCGTCTCTAGTCTACTTCTATATAGGGGAAGAGAACAAATACATGTATCTATATATGTGTTTCACCAGATAATTTAAGAGTTCTCAAATGTAAGGCTTATATGCAAATATCTATATGCAAGTTTTGTTATTCAAGAAGGTTAACGAAACTGTATCTTATTCCCAGAATAAGATCTAAATTTCATTGTACAGAATATTAATCCTTCAAATTACTCTTCAAAAGAGAAGTTAAATACAAGAGTCTGTGGGTGCTGTGCCCCGACATTTCCAAATACATTTGGACAAAGTAGGACACAGCTGTTACAGTAAGAAAAAGATACAATGCAAATTCAATCTTTACACATAAATATAGCAATCATCATCATATTAATGCTTTTCTGTGGCAGAGACCTAATATACTGCAAAGATCACCAGCCTATGTACTTTTCTAATGCAGTTTATGCTTGACTTTTGCTTTGCTGTTGCTGGTTTATCTTTATCTTGATACAGTATATTCCTCATTTCTTTTTATAGGCAAGGCAGCTGGAAGAGAAAGACCGAGCAATAAAGAAACAGGATGCATTCTACAAAGAGCAGCTGGCTAGACTGGAGGAGCGGGTATGACTTTCTTGTCATTGATTCCTTTCTCTTAGCACATCTGCAGCTTCCCATATACTTGTTTAAAAATCAATAAATTAGAATTATAGTTGCTTTTCCTAGTTAAAAAGTGAAGAAGCCAAGCAGGTAGGTCATTATCTCCAGGATGTCATTTCATTTTGGTCAGTTGTGGTTTTTGCTGTATTGACATTTTTCCCCTGGGGAACTTCAGCTACTTCCTTTCACATGTTGTGCTTGTAATCTGCATTGCCTCCTGGTCACACAGGCTGTTACCCATAGCTCCTTCTACAGTGCTGAAAGTTGAGTATTTTCTTAGAGATGTTACTATTTTGTTTTGTCTCCTTGGTTTTTTGTTTTTGTTTTTTGGAGATAGTATATCTCAAACTCATTGGCCTTGAACTCACTACATAGCTGATGACTTTGAACTCGTGGTCCTCCTTCTTATAAAATTTGAGTGCTAGGATCACAGTGTGTACCACCATGCCTGGCTTGAAATAGTACTGTTATAGGATATATTGTCTTTATTAGAACTCTGTTTCACTGCATTTATAACTTAGAGAAATAATTGTCTCCTTCAAAAGTGCTGACAGGAGTTAAATATATTGTAGGACTCGGGGGGGAAAGATTTAGGAAAAGAGGAGGCGTATGTCTAAGAAGAAGCCTGTAGCAATAGGAAGCAGGCCAGTGTCATGCTGTTGGGATAGGGGTGTGCTGGTACATTTGGGAAGGGCAGGTTTGTGTAACAGCAGAAAACAGGGTGGTCTCTTGGGCAAGAATTGAAGCAAGGGGTAATTGGAAAGAGATTAATTTAAAAATGGGATTTAATTAATTAAATTTCTTAATTTAATAATTAAGAAATGAACCAGGCATGATGTCACACAGCAGTTATCCTAACACTTGGGAGGGGGAAGCAGGATGATTAGGAGTTCAAACTCATCCTCAGCTACACAGGGAGCTCAAGAGTATAATGGGTTACATGAAATTCTGTCTCCCCCAAAGTTTTAAAAGAAAAAAGGAGGTGAGGGTGAGGGGAGAATAGAGAAAAGAAACTGGATGGTGATGGCTTGGGCCAGGGTGCTAGCAGTGAAGTGGGAAAATAAGGTCATGTACGTATGTTCAAAGTTAAGTTTGCCAAATTTGCTGATGGTTTTGAAAATGAGTAAAAGACAGACTCAAAAACAATCTAGGTCTATAGTTTCTATAACTAAGCAGATAGATTTTTCTATGCGGGAAGATTATTCACTTATCAATTAGAATGTAGTTAGAGTTCGGTTCAACATCACTCAAGATGTTGAATAGGCATAATGTGGGATAGAGTAGAAATGAACAATAAAGTTTCCAACAGTAAATATTTTAGGTCTGGGGAACACATGTGGTCTCTGTTGCATTTTATCTTCTTTTCCTCTGTAATGTGTAAAATGAAAGTGTGTTCATACTGAAGTTTGAAATTTGTTTAATTTTCACATCATGAAATTTTAAAACTTTTTTTCAACGATTTAAAAGAGTGAAAGCTTTTCTTAAGACTGTATCTTGCAGGCCAACCTTATTTACCTATAGGTTGTAGTCTGTGGAAGTGTCCTTTAAAGCCACTAGTTCTGGCATAATTTATATCTCTACAGTGGTGTGGAATTGCTGTGTAACTTGCAAAATCTCATATAACCTCTCAAGTTCCTCAGCTGTTGAAGGAGGAAATAATACTATTTTTATCTATAACTTCTTAAAATGACTTAAATAAAGGATTTAAATAGTGCCCCGTCCATGGTAAGTGTCTGTTCCCTACAGCTGTCCTTTTCTTTTTTTATTTCCAGAACACTGTACTGGACACAAAGTAACTAGAAACTTTGTGGTTGGCTCATTATTACCTGCTTTGCCTCTACCTGATGCTAATTTTTTTTGCTATCAAGTTTTACTTTATTAGATATTTCTTGAATTTGCTTCAGGATATAAGAAAACACACTGAAAATAACTTATATTTCTTATACATCCACTGATTTGACTGAGACAGTTAAGTGTTTTGAATAAGATCCCAAGAGGATTTGTTCTGGGCAGATGAAGCTTGTTGCTCAGCAAATAGTGTTTTTGGTATTAAGCAGAAAAATAGCATATGAGATTGACACAATATGAGGAGACCAAATCATTATAGTATTAGTATATATTCCCATATTTTTAAAGATTAATTTTTGTGTATATGTGAGTGCCTACATGCATGCAAGTGTACCATGTACATGCATTGCCTGAAGAGACCAGAAGAGGACATCAGATCACCTGGAACTAGAGTTATGGATGGTTGTTAGGTGCCGTGTGTATGCTGGAAAGATGCTGGTCTAGGGCAGCTGGTGCCCGTGCCACCCAGAGATGCAAAGGAAGATAGGGATGGGAAGCAGCCCTAAGTGCTCCTGGGGACTGCACTGAGGATCTGGGTTGGTCTGAATGCAAAGGATCAGGAAGCGGAAAGGTCAGCCCTGGCATCTAAGGAAAGAGACAAGCGGGTTGTGCAGCCCATGGAAGCAGAGGGAGGTGAGGGCAGGACCAGGCCCCAAAGGCTTCTGGGAGAGAGGATGTTGTGCAGACCAGGGTAGTAGAGTAAGGTGAGGGCGGGGCCAGGCCCAGAGGGCTCAGGACCAGAGAAAGAACTGGGTTGGTCTGGATGCAAAGGATCAGGCAGCAGTGGTGGTTCCCCCGGTGTCTGGGGTGCCAAGACAAGGAATGGGACAGGACCCAGGCTAGGAGGAGAGACAGGCAGGGGAGATGGAAGGGTGAATGAGGCTGGGGGAGTCAAGGCACGGAGGGTGCTATGGACTTACCCTGGACTGAGGCCTGCAGGTTGTGCCCTGGGAAGCAGCACAGCAACTCTTTAGTACGAAGGAAGGTCAGGGCCATTTTTGAAAAGTTTTGCAAGTCCTCTTTTCCCAGTCAGTCATATGTCACTAACTTATCAAGTAGCATTGGAATAGATGTGAAAGTAAACTTAGAAATCATTAGAACTGTCACATTTAAGTTTGTGGCCTGAAAGAGACTTGAGGAGTATTGATCCCTGCTGAAGAGACCTGGAGAATGTTAATTCCTGGTTGATGGTGTACAATGAGGAGCCTGGAGTAGACTTTGAAGAGACAAACCCAAAGGTACTTTCGAGGGGCTTTCCCCCAAGTTGCTCAGAAATGTGTTTTCCCAACTCAGGAAAATTAGAGAATAATTACTTGAAAAATTCATAGTGCTTCATGCTTGCCTGGGACATTTATAAATTTTATAATAATTGTGATTAAACATGTATGTTGTGTTAGACTTTCTCATTTTATCCTCACAAACAACTCCATGAGGCTGTCCACTCTGAAAATCCTGAAGCCGAAAGCAGCTTGTCCAAGAATGTAAACCCAGACTTATCAGTAGACCTGGATCTGATCCAGCCTCCCCACCTGAGCTGGGAGCCAGGACTGTATCTCCCTTTAAAACATGTCAGTTCTGTGCTTACATTATTAATTGGGGCAGAATACAGTATTAATTCTTAGAAGTGTTACCTTAGCACATTCTGGCTTCTAATACAGCTTTTTAGGTCCAGATCTTCATTTGATTATTGCCACCTCATAACCTGAAAGTATTAAGCATTTAAAAGTATATAGTTTTATTGCCAGAATTTGTCACTTCCTGAGAAATTTTGACCAAAATAGAATACGTTTTCAGTATTTAGAAACTACATGATTCAAGCTGAAAAGTTATTTTATTGTCTAGTTTGCTTCTTCCACTTTGGAGTAAGGAATCTGTAGCCATTAGAGCAGCTTGAAATCCTCCTGAGGTACTCCTTCAGTCACACTCTCGTAGAGTAGTCATTTCATTCTACCTTCTAGAAAGAAAATATGCCTTCTTTTATTTTTACTAAATTGTTTTTGTGGTAATTCTATTTGAAGTGGATTGTTTGCATGTTTCTGAGGCAAGGATGTTTTTCCCAGTACTTTCTGGTCACTCTGGAGAAAAACTAGAAGATCCCCTTTTGAAGTACAAGGTCAAAGCCGCCCTGTCCTAGGGACCTTCTGGGATGAAGGCCCCTGAACCCCAGGATATCTCGAGAGTTTGATACCTTTGAGGGCTAGAGTATCATCCACATATAACTTTCTTTTTTCTAAACTATTAATTCACTGTTCTGAACCATCAGCTTTGCTCTTGGCCTAAGGATAGTAGGGTTTAGCACAATGTCAGGGAAGATATAGAAATCCTGATGGCCTGAGGAGCTGAGGGTGATCAGAGACCTTAATGAGGTAGGAATAGTGCTCAGATCAACCTTGTTGTGTAGAGACCCCTGGATTTGCATACACCTTGCCTTAACCCTCTAGAATTCCCAGGGACAGGATATTACATTGGCTGGGCTAAAGAGAGCAGTGAAGGAGGAATGGAGAAAAAAAAAATTACCATTTAGAAGTATTACTGGCTTGTCACCTGGGGGCAGTTACTAATTAAATTCTAAGGTCATGCTTACATTTAATGAGCAACTTTTACCCACTTGCGGTGGGTAACATATCTTCTGTTGCGTCATAAAGTGTTGGGCCCATTTATATGATTAATTGGTGATTTGGTACTTGATTTTTCTGTCAATTAGTATTTTTCTTTCCTTGCTCCTTTGTGGAAACCTTGGGGGAAGGGTGGAGACATTGCTAAATGATAATCCAATAAATGACAACCAAGTAGGTTATTGTGACCCATTGTACTCCTTATAGGGTGAAACTGTTACATACGTTTATTGCCAGATGAAGTCTGCCTTTGTGAAATACTTCAATGAGTGAAGCTAGGGTAGCACATGATAGAGTCACAGACTGTTAACACTTGAGATATGAAAATGTAAATACCCCTTTTAGAAGGGGGAAATAATAAATTGCTTTGTTGAAGTTAAAAGAAACAACAAAAACTCCACATTTGATATTTCCCCCACTAAAGTGCTTTCAAAGCAGTTGTCAGTGCTTTTAGGTCAGTGGGTAACTCACTTTGGCCTTGCAATGTGAGGTAGCACATTC